AGATGTTGGTGTTCCCCTGCGTGGGGGGGGGGGGGGGAATGGGCGGAGCCAAGGAAGGCCAACCCACCAGGACCAGAGCTGCAAAGGCTCATGGGAGCTACCCTTCCCCCTCCACCCAGGGCCCCAGAGTTTGGGTCAGGGTGGGGAGAAGTGGAGGGGGGAGGAAAAAAACAACCATTTTCTGCCTTTTTGTCCCTTAAAAATTGCTTTAATTTCCCACATCAATTCGAGAAAGAGGCAATGAAGAGTTCGACAGGAAACAGGTCACAGAGCAGAGAACCCAAGAGCCAATGCAACCCCAAAACGCCCCCCCCCATGTCATAGCCTAGAAACCACCCAGTGAAACGTGCCCCTTGCCAGTAAAAGGCAGCTAAAATCCTCCACCTGGCCATTGCCTTTAAGAACCTTTCAGGCTTTTTTGACAGCCAGGCTAATATATTTTGCTCCTTTAAGTTACTGCTCAAGGGTCTTGTCAATGGCCTTCAAGAGCCGTCCACACAAACTAAAAGATCAACCCTCTCCCCAACAACTTCCAAAACCAACATTGGTTTCATTTTTCCACTTGGCCATTTCCTTTAAAGAACCCACGTTTTTGACAGTCACATAAGTATTCTGAGCCTTGTCTAAAGTAGCTGCCCCTGCTTCTTCTACCTTGCCTTTCAGCATTTTCAAAGCAAAACAAAACCCAAAATATCCAACACCCCCCACACCTCCCTTAATTGGGTTACATTTTTCCAATAAAAAAGCTGCCTTTAAGAAGCTTTTATTTATTTTTTGACTGCCACAATTATTTTGGGGTTGTTTTATGGTGGCTTGGTTTTGTAGACAGATAAATCATATCATCTTCTTACTTTGCACCTTAAAGGAATTAAAAATGATTCCCTGACCGATAACTATCAATTATGTTTCAAAATTGCCATTGCATTGAAGAACATTTTTAACTGCCATACAAACACTTCTTTTCCATCAAGAATCACCAATATCATTAAAAAAAATAATAAGGAAAGATTTCTGTAAAGTGGGGATTGGTGGTGTGAACAGGAATTTTAGCATTTGGTCCCTGATTTGAAAAGCCTTTTATTATTTTTTGTCAGACAAATATTCAAGGCCGCACACCCCCACTATTTTTTTTTTTTTGGAGGGAGACAGCTTTCCAAATGGAGTTTTCTCCCCCCGCCCCACCCCAGATAACACTACCAATGACGGTGAAGGAAAAAGCTGGGGAATGTTTTCTTGGTCTCACCTTCTCCTTTAAGAGGTTTCCGAAAGGGGCAGGGGAAGCCAGCCACGCAAATATTCTAGGTTAAGCTTATGACCTACTATTCCACCTGATTTGTACAATTTTATGGTGCCTATATATTTAAATAAAACCCAGAAAATTATACCCTCCACCTTCCCTCTATAATTATAACCTCCCCTCGATTTAGAGCTGGATAAGTACTTGTTACTTTAGTACTTCAGGTTTTATTTCCAGGGTACCTTTAAAACACCATAAAACACAAATGTTTGAGGCCAATTCCCACCTAATTCCCAATATACAGTGAGTCATACATCAATCTCTCACTTTTTTAACAAAAGGCACACACGTGTGCACGCACACACACACATATATATTAAAGGTTTCTCCAAAAATAGCTAAGTCTTTTAGATTTGGCCACTGCCTATAAGAATATACATCTCTCTCTATTTAACTAACATACATAGGCTTTGTTATCAAGAATAAAACTTGCCAAGCAAGTACAAACACACATATTAAATCACCCCTGCTAATTTGCCCTTAAGCATGAGAATCCTTTGCAACAGTCTCAAGGAGGAAATAAGGCAGCTATTGCTTTAAGAAAGTTGTCTTGGGTTTCTGACCCAGCCATGCCAATATTTGACACAGAGAATCTTGTCCAGGCATGGAGATTTTGCATGTGTTATTTATTTGAATGAGCCCTAAGCATGGCCAATGGGCAACTAATTTTTTTTTTTCATTTTATTTGCCTCACCTTTAAGAAACCACCATATAAAAATCCTCCATGCACAAAATGGCTGCAGAGGCTTGTCTGCATCAGGCGCTGCAAGAAATGCAAAGGGCTTTGAATGCTTCCCTCGCTTGCCATTGGAAAAATACATTATTTACAAAAAAAAATCAAAAAAATCAGCCAAAATAGAAAAAAATATTGTCAGCCAAGCCATTGCCTTTAAGAGGCTTCTTTGCACCTCTTATCTCTAACAAAGCCACTGCCCTAAAGAATCATTTTAATGCCCCTAGAAACAATTTCAATTGGGCCACTGCCCTTAAGGTTTCTTTAACTGAGGAACAACTCTGGCATTTGCCTTTAAGAGCCTTTTTGACTGCATGCAATTATTTATTTTCTGCTGTGATCTCGAGCTGGTACCTTTAAACCGCTATAAAGGTATGGCCAACTAATGCATCAAGAATCTTTTGTCAACTTCCATACAAAAGATCTCTTCCATGCCAAGCCAAAGGTCATCTCTGGTAACGCCTAGAGGAATGTGGTGTCACAGTGGGCTCAATCCTGCTCCCTCATTGGCTGCTAGGTTTGGAAAAAACATATACACACCCTTTTAAGAACCAGTGTTAACAGCCACACCAATATTCCCCCTCTACTAGAGGCAGATCCTTAAAGAAAATGTGTGACAGTGCCATCCTTTTAAGATTGCCAGCTATATACACCTCCCTTTCTGCCAGCACTAGGTCTTTAAAGGGAAAGCTATGCCATACCAATCCCTTTAAGAGATGTCTGGACTTTTCTTTTCTTTTTTTTTTTGACTGCCACATAAACATTCCTTTGCTGCTCCCTGATGGGCTCTTAAAGGCAATGAAGCAGGGCCGATATAAAAATTCCTGTGGCAGATTTGGTCAGGTGAGTAGGGGTTCATCATCAGCATCTGAGGTGGGGAGGGAGAGGCAGGGCCGGGGCTCAGCCAGGGGCAGCAGCAGCACGTCGTCCTCCTCCTCCACTGAGGGCGATGGGCCTGGGGCATCCCCGACAGGGAAAAGCCGGCCCCGTAGAGCCCGCAGCACCCCCCCAGAAGGCTGTGGGGCTGGGGGCAGAGCCTGGGGTGGAGCTGCTGTTGATTCGGCCCCAGGGGGCGGTGCTTTCTGCGGCAGGGGCGGGGCCTGCTCCTCAGCTTGGCTGGCGGTGGTGGTGTCAGCATCTGCGGTAGCCCCACCCCCTTCTGGAGGTGAGGGGGCAGCAGCAGGAGCCCGAGGGGCAGGGCTGGGACGGGGCAGAAGCCCCCAGCGGCGAAGGCGGCGCAGGAGGCGGCGCAGTGGACGGGGCGGGCGGCGGGCACGGCGGCCCCCAGTGCCCGCGGCATCCTGGCGCAGCACGTGCAGCACCGAGCGCAAGTTGGCCAGCAGCGACGTCTGTGGGGAGAGGAAGGAGAAAAGGCAGGTTGGAGGGCTAAGGGGGTCCGAAAAGGGAGCGGGGGGTTCCTGTGGTGGGTGCGGGGAGGTCTCACCTGCCCAGGGCTTTCAGTGGGGAAGTCGTCAAGGGGCGGGATGGCGCCCTGCGCGATAAGCTGCCCGTAGGATGGAGGCGCCTCCTGCCGCACCAGCCGCGCATCGCCCCGCGAGAGGGGTGCAAACAGGCTGCCAGGGAGGGATGGCAGCAGGCGTTAGAGGCCTACCTTCAGTGCTTAGCCTTACCCGCATACCCTAGTCCCCCCACCCCCAACAAGCCTCACTTCCCGGTAGCCCCACCCCTGGATGCACAGGGGCTGCCCAGGGCAACAGCAAGGCCCTGCCTCTCAAACCCCTTTGCTCCGCCCCAGTCCCATGGGCTCTGCACCTTCTCCTCCAACCCTGCTCTCACCTGTGCTCCTGGGCCCCACCCACAAACCATTGGCCCCACATCATCCCCAGGCATACAAGTCAGGGGGAGTGAGCATGTAGGCTGTATAATAATATGCCCTTCCCTAGCCTCTACCCCTTGTCCCAGAGAGCATGGAGACAGCGGAGCAGCTCCTGCCCCCCATCCGCAAGCCCCGCCCATAATCCCCTCCCCAGGCCTCGCCCCCTCGCACCTGTACTCCCGGGCACGGACAGCATAGAGGCGGCAGGGGCAGCCAAGTGCCACGACCAGCAGGAGGCCGCAGACCAGGCTGCCAATGGCAGCAGCAGCCACCACTTTGCGGGGTGGGGTGGCAGGGCAGGCGGCCTCATCAGAGGCATCCGCACAGTCGGGCTGCCCGTCGCAGCGCCAGGCCTCGTACACGCAGCGCCCATCGCCGCAGCGGAAGTGCCCCGGCTGGCAGCGCCAACAGCCCCGCTCATCTGCCCCGCCTGGACACAGCGTCTGGTAGTTGCAGCGGTCGCTGGGGCTGTAGCAGGGCTCGCCACCAGTTCCGCTGCAGGGGTAATGCCCAGGCGGGCACCCAGGACAGCCCGCCTCGTCAGCACCGTCGGCACAGTCCCAGGTGCCGTCGCAGCGCTGAGTGTCGCTGTAGCAGCCGCCGCCATCACCGCAGGGCCGCGTCCAGGGCACACAGAAGCCGCGCACGTGGTAGGTCGCATTGAAGGAACCCAGGCCAGCCCAGGACACCCAGGCCCGGCTGGAAGCTGCCTCCACTGTCACCCGGCGCCCGTTGGAGGTGGAGTCCAGGTGTCGCAGGGGCTGAGCTGGCACCCCTGGGTGCCCCTCATAGACTGTCAGGGCATCGCCCGGTGCCAGCTCCAGCCAGGTGAAGGCCACGGTGAGTGGGCGGCTGGCATGGGGGTCCAGGGCCCAGCGGCAGCGGGCAGGGGTGGGCGGTGGCCCAAAGACGCCATAGAAGTCATCCAGGGCGACATTGCAGGCCGGGGGGGGCTGGCGACCTGGGGGGCGGGTAGCAGGAGTGAGAGGGAGGGACAGACGGACGGATATGGGGGGGGGGGGGGGGGGGGGGGAAGGGGGTGTACCAGTTGTATAGTTAGTAAGAATGTTAGAGGAGCTGAAGGAAGGTATGAGGGGAATGGGAGGGAGCTGGACTGATGCATGGAGGTGAGAAGGGGGCAGGGGAGGGTTGGACAGACAGATGGGCATGGGGAGTGGGAGAACTGGATGAATGGACAAAGGGTGGCACGAAGGGAGTGGGCAAGGGTCAAACAGATGGACGGACAAGGCAGTGTGGACGGGGAGTGGGAGGGTTGGATAGACGGATGGAGGGAAGGGTGAAGGTTGGACAGACAAACAGACGGGAGGTGTGAATGGGGGGAGAAAGGCTGCACAGACAGACAGAGGGCAGTGCAAATGGGGCAGGGGACAGTTGGACAGATAGACGGACAGAGGGAGGTGGGAACAGGTTAGAGGAGGGTTGACCGGACAGATGCATGAATGGGGTGGGGGAGCTCTGGGCAGACGTCTGCCTGGAAGGCAGCATGAATGGGGCCGAGAATGGTTGGACAGATGGACAAAGGGAAGTGTGAATGGGCCTGGTGAGGGCAGACAGATAGATGGACAGAGGTTGGTGTGATCAGGCTGAGTGACTGGGATGGACAGACATGGCAGAGCAAAGGGCCTGGCAGAGGGGGACAGCTGGATGGACAGTGATTGATGATAGGGGAGAGAGAGATGGATGGACAAACGCTGGCATGAATGGGGGGGTGGGGGGCAAGATGGACACAAGGGGCAGTGTGTGTGTGTGGCAGGGAAGTGATGGACAGACGGACAAAGAGATGGCGGGCCCTGCTGGGGGGCTGAATGGACACAGGGACAGACAGAGGGAGGCGTGGGGGATGGCCAGACAGAGGGCCGGGGAGGTGGCAGAAAGACTGACACGTGTCCCCTACCTCGGTCATAGGTGAGCTGGAAGCCGGTGCTCGGATGGTAGGGGTGGAGGTAGGTCAGGGTGATGTTGGTGCCCCGGTAGTGCAGGGGGGGTGGTGGATGGGTTCCACACAGTGGCCGGGGGAGTTGTCCTCGTGCCCGCACGGTCAACAGCTCTGCCCCACATGGCACCACCAGGCGCTTGAACCTGCGGAGGGCACAGATGTATCCTCGCCCAGTCCAGTGACCCGACCCTGGCCTGGATCCCAGCCCTGATCCCCGCAGGGCTAATAAGAGTGACACATTTCACTCCCATGCAGGGGTGGGGTGTTTCTGTTCCCCTTCCTGTCCCTTATGGCTCTTAAAGGGCCAGTACCCCAATTTGGAGCCTTAATCCCCTGCCAATACACTCCACCCCATGAGCCTTTATAGGGGAAGCACCACTATCCTGGGATCCCTCCTGTCCCCAGGGACACTTTAAGGGCCAGTACCCCAATTTTGGGCCTAAGCCCCCCTCCCCCACGAGTTCTTAAAGGGGCTACATTTTCAATCTGGGACACCCTGTCTTTCAAAACTCCTTAAGGGCCAGTACCGCAAACTGGGGATCCCCCACAACACTTCCTGAACGCCCCCCCCCTGAGCTGCTAAAGGTCCCACACTGTCATTCTGGTACCCAGCACCTCAGGACTCTCAGGAGGCCAATGCCCCTACTTGGGGCCTTTCCTGCCCCAACACCCCAGCCTCACCCTGCCAGCTCTTAAAGGGTCCGCACCACCATTCCGGGACCCTCCCTGTCTGTCTCTCAAGACTCTTAAAGGGCCAGTGTCCCAGATTGGGGCTTTGTCCTCTCCCTGGAAGCCCTTAAAGGGCCCACACCCCCATTTCCGCAGGTCTCACCGGAGCGTGACGACGTCGCCGGGCGCGGCCGGGATGTGCCAGGCGCAGACAGCGGGCGGGGGGCGCCCGTGGGGCGGGCTGCGGATCCGGCCCTGCGGCGCCACCAGCACCTCCGGGCTGTCCCG